TAATATAGTCAGCGTTATGAATTTTAAGTTTTTTCTACAAACTCTTCAAGTAATCAAATATCGTATTCTTTGTAAAAAAAACTTATTATACAATAATTATAAGATTCTAATTCTTTTTCAGGCAGATTTAGAAAAACAATGTATACTTGTGTATAAGTTTATATATTTATACCTTTATTATATATGTATAAGTATATATATTCATCAAGTAAAAATAGTGCCATGTGTGTCACAAAAATGTATTCTATGTACATAAGTTGTTTGTAAGAAGTCGCTATAACTTACTAATATTATAAACGCGAAAGTTTGTGATGTTTGTTACCCTTTCTCGCAAGAACTTCTGAACGGGTTTTGATGAAACTTTATAGTAATATAGCTTATACATCAGAATAACACGTAGGCTATAAAATATAATAATTTAAAAAGTTAGTATGTAAATTGGATGAATTATAATGATAATTTACAAGTAAGTGTGATGCTGATGAAGTTTCGCATGTCAGCTGTTATTATTGTTATAGAATCGCCTTATGATATTACTCTTCTACTTACTGTTCTTCTTATTGTATTTCTTCTGCACAATAAAGAGTTGACAATGATCATACAAAGACATATAAATAAATAATAAAAATATTATTTAACATTATACAAGTGTAAGGATTTATCGTTCCGTCTCGGTGCCGATCAGTCTTTCCGAGCCATTAAATACGCCAGTTCCAATATCAGGAGCAATCCATAAATCTCAGATGCAAGTGTACTTTAAATTTTCTATTGCTTACATTTATAGAAAATCTATTTTCAGCACTCTACATAAAAGGAGGTTATTTTCAATTTATATCCTTTATACATTGAAATCGTAAACGAGTTGTGTTTGTATAATATTTTTTTTAAAAACGTTATTGCGCCTACCTACGAGCTGTTATATAACAAACAACTGCAAGTTATTTGAACTAGTTCTACAATAATTACATGATAGCCCATTTATCGAAGAAGGTATTGGCTATAGAGCATCACGATAGAGGACTAAAATGACATGCCTTTTGGCTTATTATTTTACTGTATTACCTCACCTACCATTCATCTACCTCACACCACATTATCCACCTCACCTACCTCACATACCATTCAAAAACAGGGAAATTGTGGCGCATACGATGCGCCTGCTGCGATAGCTGACCCTAGTCCTTTGATATACCCCGTGTCACTACTTATACGATGCTATTCCAGAGAACTAAAATGACATGCCTCTTACTCTATAACTGTCATTTTGGTTCTTGTAAGCTGCTACCTGGCTGAAATAGGTAAACAGACGTCTCCAACCAGGCGATTTTTTACAAAGTTTACCTTTGTAGATAATATATTGGTATAATAATAATATCTCAGAACAACTTAACAGTGTCAGCGACAGCGACAGTCCTAAGGTAAGCAGAGCTTATGTCATGAGTCCCAGACAAATGATATAAATACATAGATACCTATACATATAAAATACCCAGACCAATACAAACAAGCGATTGTTGTTTGTTGATTGTTGAGTGCGAACTCATGAATGCAACTGTTTGTACCGTGCGAGGAATCGAACCCGTGATCGAAACTGTGACTACCAAAAGGAAACCGCAAGACCACCGAGGTATAAAATAAGTCTTAATAATATGCTAATTTTATTACAATAAGTATGGAAACGGCCGATGTTGATTAATCTTGTTTAATACTTCGTTATTTCGATTAAATGCTTAAACCATTTTTAAGTATTAAAATGCCAGGAGACATTTAGAAGTGATTCGCCTTTCGCTAAAATGAGATTTTAAATGAACCCCCAACTTGCAAACCTTACTTCAAAGTTTTTTAATATCGACTTGGCTCTTGTTTATTTGAATTTCCTTCGAAAATTCCAGCCGGGAAGCGTCGGGAAATGTTTGGGAATAACTAATCTAAATATTGATAACTAAGTATTCTCCGCGGCTTCGCTCAAGTGCAATCCGTTAAAAATATACTATTTCTTTTTTTACCACCGCAAAGAAACATACGGCCCGTCTGTTAGTAAACGGTTACTGTCACCTAAGGACGCCTGAAATACCAGAGGTTTATTTTTATTTAAATTATTAACCGGGTCTTAAAACGTATTTTTAACATTTGCCATAAAATTATTCGTGTTAAAACCCGGTTAATAATTGAAATAATACCAGAGTTTTTATTTTAATAACATTATGTAAGAGCTACGTTTCTTGCCATTTCTTCTTAGCTCGAAAGCATACCGCACTGACGGTAGATTTGAGATATCATAAGAGTCTGTAATAGACCTACATGAATAAAGATAAAAGAAAAACTCACCTGTTTCTTTATTGCCGTTGCAGCTTGTTGTTTATTTATTGTATCTTTTTATAAATTATTTTATTAAAATAAGTAATACAGTTAGCAGCATCCATTGTTGTATCTTTTCTACCCATGCTAATATTATAAATGTGAAAGTGAGTCTATCTATCTGTCTGTATATATGTTTCTTAATTAGGGTCTGAAATTGTATGCAGGCCGAGTCTCAGGTATTACCTACAGTAACGTAAGTACATCAAAACAAATGAAATCAAAATTAATATATTCATGATCATTTTAGCCGCTTATGAATATCAAGTTTTCTGTATAAATATTTTATCCCTACCGTCAGTAAAATAACAGTATGTAAGTACATATAGCATTCATCATCATAATCATCATCACCAGCCTGTATCTATCCACTGTTGGATATAGGCCTTTCCCAATGACTTCCACCATGTGTGCTGTTCCGCCTTCCATATCCATCCACTCCCGGCTACCTTCGTGATGTCGTCAGTTCATCTTGCAGGAGAGCGCCCGACATTGCGTCGACCCATACGCGGTCTTTCTATGACACTAGCTGCGCCCGCGAAATCATTCGCGTAAAATAACGATACTTCCATGTAACCTTTCATATCACCTTTCAACCCCTTGCAACCCATTTTTCCCATTAAAAAGTAGCCTATGTCCTTTGTCAGGTTTAGACTATCTGTGTACCAAATTTCCTTTAAATCGGTTCAGTGGTTTCGTCGTGAAAGCGAGACAGACAGACAGACAGAGTTACTTTCGCATTTATAATATTAGTAAGGAGTAAGGATTGTAAGGATTATCAATATAAATTCAATTGCAAGTTGCTTCACTACCTACCTATATCCCTGTCTATTTTCAGCAACCAATCATTAATTTAAACATATGTCAGACAAAAATTCAAGTCATAGTATACAAATATTCCATCCATACATATTGTAACCCTAAAATGCGTGCGGTACAAAAATCCATCGTTTACTATCATCCCACTATCAATCAATCAACCACGTCGGCCGACCGCTTGAAACGGGTTAAGTGTTCAATAATAAAATTCAGCTTAAGGGCAAAATTATCGGAAAACCGCCGACCACCTGGGCCCGAGGTTGGGGTTATTGAAAATATTTTAGAGAAAACTAAAAGTTGCTATAAAGGGTTAAGTGCGTATACCAAAATGTTTTCCTATCAAAATATATTTAAATTTTCCAGTATATTATATATTTCATCATATACGTCATTTATTATTAAATTCATCGTCATTTAAATAAATTACTAATGTTTGTATAAAAATTTGGAAGTGTGTCTGTTTTGTTTTTGCTGACCTCCGTGGTGTAGGAGTTTAGCGTACCGCCTTACTTCCGATGGTCGCGGATTCGATTTCTCGCACGGTACAAACATTTGTATTCATGAGTATGACTGTTTGTATCGGTCTGAGTGTTTTCTATATATATTATGTATGTATTTACAAAAAAAAATATCCATATATCAATTATCTAGTACCCATAACACAAGCTCTGCTTAGCTTGGGACTAGATGGCGCTGTGTGAATTGTTCTGAGACATTATTATTATAATGCCTGTGGATACTAAATGGGTGTTCAATTATTTTTCTATATTTTATATTATTATTGCAGTTATCAAATTAAAACTATATGTATATCTATTATATCTGTACATAATAAAACTGTAACAAGCGATTTCTGTACTTTATACTTAAAAAAAAGTAATACAGACTTTATTAGAACAACAGAAGCAAAACAAAAGTTTCCAAAATGTTTGTGTCTGACTGTCCATTCATACTTGTACATAATAATAATAATCTCAGGACAATTCACACAGCGCCATCTAGATCCAAGTTAAGTTAGCTAAAGCTTGTGTTATGGGTACTAGATAACTGATACAAATACATAGATATTTTTTTTTCGTAAATACATACATATTATACATACAAAATACCCAGACCATACAAACAATCATACTCATGAATACAAATGTTTGTGCCGTGCGAGGATCGAACCCGCGACCATCGGATGTAAAGCGGTGTGCTAGACCGTAGACCACCGATGTCGTCATACCGTACATGTAAAAAAACTACTACATGGAATAGAATGCAGTTTGACCGATACATTTCTAGAGGTATAACTTAGAATATAGGCTCCATATTACTGCAGGAAAATATCTCTTTATGTGCGAAATAATGGCGGTAAAACAGTCTGTAATAAAGATAGTGTCGACAACAATATTATTCCATCAATTTATATAAAGAATTCATCTCTATCCACTTCTTAAAACTATGGGGACGATGATTATTATATTAGTGCTGGATAACATATCAAGATGGTTGAATAAAGAGTCCTATTTCAAGACTTCCTTTTCTTTCGCCAAATATTTTTACTTTATTTCCTGAGTCGGTCCTTCCTCGGTCGGTCTCGATGTTAAAAAAAATAGTAGTGATCCATTACACTCTTCCTACATAAATTAAAATAATTATTTAGTAACATTTAAATAATTTTCTTTGAATTTCAAGTATTTCTATAAATACATTCACACAACTCAATGTTGATATAAATAAACAAGATGCAAGAGTCAACGCCACGAGAACAGATCGTCACCGAAGTTTATTTCTGTCATGAGAGCAACGGGAATTCAAAATAGAAAAGGCCAGTTCAACTCCTCAGAGCAGTTGCACGCACGCGGAAACTAAACGGCTAAATTACAACAAAATAAATTCAAGTTATGCGTTCTTAATTCAAAAGTTTAATAATTTCTAACTATTTTTCAATTGACATCACTTTTTAAAACGTCCGTTCGCGATGGAGATTCGATTTCAAATGGCCGCCATCTTGTTTTTGTCTATAACATCAATAGTTTTTGTTTACGGATGTGATATCGATGATGTGGCAATATATAGAGTAAAAGTGAATTTTCTATGGAGTGAAGAGAGATTTCCGAAGGACTACCCGATGAATCGTCCTAAAGCACAATGGTCACCTATTTTTGGTCAGTTCATTTTTATTTTTAATGTTATTTTATTTTACTGTGGTAAACTTGGTAATTGTTTCAGAATACTACCTTATTTTCTGATAATAGTGTCTTCGTACTCCGCAAACTCCGCATTATAAAAATACTTGTAATCATATCTGCACATATTTCTAAAATATTTGGGGCTTCATGACGCTGCGTATTTTATTCAAGAAAATTCTAATTATTTTATATTAATTTGCAATTACCTCTTTAATTACCACTTTTTTATTACATGTAATAAAATCGCGACGAGGCAAACCCTGTTGTTTATGATATTTTCAAAGAACATGCTGTTATATAGGCTCCAGAATATGTTGTTACATATTAGTATGAGTTGAGAAAAATAATCCCCAAGGATATTAGTAATATTTTCTGAATAATTTGAAATTTTACAAATTTATATTATTATAGGTATTAATTTAATCATTTATTTATTAATAAAGAAATAGATGGCATTATTTAGATGCGTTATATACGACCCATGATAATACTAGCATCCACTAGTATTATTATGGGTATAGTATAGTATAGTGGCTAACTACAATAAGATAGGTGACTGACAAACTTCCATAATTACACACAGCATAACATTTCCATTTGGCCAACAAGTATCCAAGTTTGTAACTTTTATTTATGTAATTACCGCCAAAATGACAACAGGAGGGAAGAAAAAACAATGGCAAACTAGAATAAGGAGTTTCCTTTTATCTCTCAAGTTAAGTGACATTTCGCGGTTTCGCTCGTTCCAGATAAGACAGTATTTATTTGTGTCTCGCCTTTTGTGCAAAGGCGATGTTATCGCCGTGTTTTTTTGCACGATTTATAAGTGTAGTGATTTCCTTTGTTTCCTTCGTGTCGATGGAAGTATTAGAAAGTAACGTACTTACCCGATTTCAACGAAGTTGAACAATGCACTAGTTGGTTTTTTTACAGTCTTTTTGTTTTTTTTTTTAACTTTACGCAGGTAGACTTTGTAAAAAGTCCTTTGCATGGGTACCTCAGTCTTATCTATGTCAGCTGTAACATCTTAGACCACTGGATTGGCAACGCAAGAGTCGTTTACGAGTCGATTTTACAAGTGCAACTGTTTTGTAATCAATTCTTCTTTATAGAGACATTATTATTATACTATTTAATGATCTAAAGAAGAGAATACAGAGAAATATTGTTTCATATAGAAGTAAACTTTATATTGTTGCCTTGGGGTCCTCTATCTTATTTGTTTCAGCCACGAAGCCCCTTGCTTTGTAATCTGTGTTTTAGTTCGATTTATGTTTCGTTCTCCTGTTTGTGCATTACCAAGAACAAGAACAAGTATATAATAATAAAATAAATTAAATAACTAACCTAGTTAGTTAAGTTACCTCTTCACCACCCGCTTTTTTTGCCATTCCAATGATATAAAAAAAACACGACATTTGTGATCGAAATTGGATAAATCAGTAATAGTTTATTCAATACTGGTTTACCAAATTTCAAAACCCATGTGTTCTTTTTAATTATCATCATCATCATCATCATCATGATGCTTTTTAATTACTTATAATAATATTCCAGCGGTAGCAAAACTTGCCTAATATTTCGTGATTTTTATTTTCATTGCATAAACACAATAATTTTCATAGTAAGACAAATACTACTTACATTTTCAATGTAAAAACAAGAAGCAATGTTTTCATTGTCATCTATTTGTGTCAGTTATGTTATGCATTTTTACTTTCCTCTATTACAGCTTTTATATTTTAACGGCTTTTCTTTCCGAGAACATATTAAAGAATGATAAACTACATTCTATTTATTATCAAGAATAACGTCGTCATGATTAACATAAAAAAACAATTTAATAATCTATTCTCGATGAATTAAGACAGCAATTTCAGAGGAACATTACAGGGAATATCAGTATTTCGCGACGCCATCCCGACCGTGACCAGAAAACGAAGTTGTCTTGTCTCTATTATATTATGAGAGAGGACGATATTGAATTATCTCAGCTAGGATATAAATCTTCGGGTACGTTGGTATTTGAAAGGCATTTGTCCTTTTTTCGACGAAAAAATCCTTTTGTCTGTTTTCAATCAAAAGAGGCGGCCGATCAGGGCCGCCGAATATTTTACAAGACTGGCGTTTAAGTGCAATATTGTTGGGGAGGGTCGATGTTGAATGATATAGCTACAAATGTTGGTAACCTCATTTAATATCGAGAAGATTAAAGTGGTAGGGAAAATGTTTCTATAGAAATTTAGCTAATATTATATATATATATATATATATATATATATATCTTTGCTATAATCTAACTAACTTTACAATGACGTGAAACACTTTTGTTATCGAATTAATACTGTTTGTTATATCAAAATTTTGAAAAGAATTGTTATATCTGTAACTATTGCCTATGACTTTAATAATAAAGACAAATAAAGAGACTTTATTTATTTTCATTATCATCTGGCGACCCGTTCGCATGGATGCTGTTCAAATCTTTGAATTTCTCTGCTTGTTATATACTACAACATGCACGTATTATACATATAAACCTTCCTCTTGAATCACTCTATGTATTGCTGAAATCCGCAATAGAATCCGTTACATAATTTGAAAGATATAAGAGAATAGACAGCTGAAGCGACTTCATTTTATACTATGTAAAGAAGTCATAGCCAATAGTTACTGATCGGAAAAATATTGTATTAGTCACTGTTGTTAGAGCTGAAAAAAATTATTAACTGATATATATTCAAATAAACGACAAAATAATTTGAATGCAGTTTGACATATAGATTCCATATTGAAACCGTATCACGCGCTTCAATAATCACTCTCTAACATTTCCATAGGCATACAGACTACTGGGGATTGAATATTAAAACCTTTGACCTTTCGAAACAATCTCCTGTCACGCTGCAAACCAGACGGGTTTTGGGATTTTAAACCGTACATGCCAATTTTAAAATACCAGCTTGAAATACTTCAGTATTTACGGGCATTCTATACATTTTTAAACTGGTAGTGGACATTTAATTAAGTAGTAGAAGAGTATACTAGAGAAAGAGGTATGGTGAACGTAAATGGTCATAGGAAGAAGGTCTAAAAAGAGACAGACTGTGTGTAAAGAGAGATGTCTATGTCACGCGTAACATCATCTGCTTCTTCCTTATCCCATTTATTTGGGGTCGGCGTATATGTTTTTCGCTTCCATTCATCCCTGTTCGCGGTCATCGCGTTATTTACTTCCTTTCTTACCATATCATCTTTCACACAGTCCATCTGACTGTGTCACGAGTATGACGAGGTATAATGCCAAGAATAACAATTATAATTAAACTTTTTAGGGTTTTTAAGGATAAGGCGCTTTCTCATAAAATGGGTGATCTGCTTGTTAGCTATTCTGAATAATCTAACAAAAGAGTATGAAAGATAACAAGAATGTAAAATATTAATTTTGAGAATGGAAACTTTCTTAAAGCCATGAATTTTTATATGCCACTATTATCCGGTGAGTAAAAACTGGCGGCCTTTCCAAGTTACATACTTAAGATAAGTATTAGAACGCCAGCAAGCTGCCTTTGTGTAGTTAACTGTGGTCCTCGACTTAATATTACCGTTTAACTTTTTTAGCAGGAAGCTTCTTTGGAATTTCCTCGCCGTGTGCCTGAAGGAAATCTTTATTTCTCACACAATAACAGTCCACTCATCAGATTAGCGAACTGCTCTTTTAACTTGACATTCCAAAGAGAATTATAGTATAACTTCACGATACTTTTCCTAAATAGAGTAGTAATTCAACGACATGATAATGCATATCTACCTTCATGTATTTAAGACCGATTTAACAGGAAATCTACAATATTACCATATTTTTTATTTGTTTTGTTAATGTCTTCAAGCAGTCAGAATTTTTCTTGTGGAATTAGAGTAGCAAATAATAAGTATGATTGTTTGTATCCATCTGAATATTTTGTATACATACTATGTATTCATTTACATATAATATATCTATATATAAATATTCTAATCAGTTGTTTAGTATCCCTAACACAAGCTTATTGTTTACATAATATTCCATTTATTCATCGTTAAATTAATTTAGAAATGTACGCATTATATGATCAAGATATTTAAATAAATAAATAACCCTGTATAATTAACACAGCGCTATCTAGTCCCACGGTAAGCTTGTGTTATGGGTACTAGACAACTGATATAAATACATAGATATTATTTTTTTGTAAATACATACATAATATACATAGAAAACACTCAGACCGATAAAAACGTTCAAATTTGAAATGCTTATATTATCGATATTTCAAAAAAGTGTATACAAATGTATATATTGGTATATTAACAAAATGGTAAACTCTATCAAACTCAGTGGGATATAGAAACGCTGTGTATCTAACGGTTAGACCACAAATACCATTCATACAGAGCTAAAATCCACTAGTTATGAGCTACATATCCCGGATTAGCTCATATTAGGGTGGCGCGTTGAAGTAATAATCGTAAATACTAGCACATTGTTTTGTTGTAAATTATAATTATGAAACGTTAATACATTATATTTATATATATATTAACATAAAAGGAAGTGTATAAAGAGCACTGTGGTTTAGTGATTTACTATATTTACCTTCAAATTAAAAAAAAAAAATGAATTTTAGTCTCTTCTAAGTATCAAGTTTTTTTGAGATAAAATTATTTTTCTGTCATCCTATAAATTCTATCTAGATATATTAAAATAAAAGAAACTATATAAATAGCATTGTGATTACGTGATTTACTTACTTTACTATACTATCTTTACTTTCAAAATCAAAATTAATTTATGCATTTTGTTCACTTCTTCCTATAATCCGTTTTTGTATTATTATTATTATATTGTAATATTTTTTCCCTATTATCCAATTTCTATAAATTCAATTGAGAAGAACTAGCAAGAAAGTTAATAGAATTTGTTTTCTTTTAAAGTCGATTTGTTAACATTTTTTAATAATTGAATTGTCTAACATTAATTGAAAATACCGTACATGAAAAATTATTGTCATACATTGACAGCCTTGGTGGTCTAGTGGCACACTGCTTTTCTTCCGACGGTTGCCGGTTCAATTCCTCGCACGGTCAAGCATTTGTATCTAAGTACAAATATTAGTTATATAGTACCCATAAAACAAGCTTTGCTTACCGGACTAGATGGCGCTGTATTAATTGTACAGGTACCCCTGTAGGGTCAGGGTTGTAATATTCATTAATATTATGTTTGTCATTCAAGTAATCGATCAGTGAAACTTTGCTCAATATATGAATTTTAACATTTATTATTGTGTTAATCAGAATGCAACTAAAATAATGTATTATAGCATAGCTCAGGAATTCTGCCGGTACAATATTTCAGAATGGAAAATGTGCTGATTTTGTCTTTTATTTTTTAAACAGTAGATCAAGATGTCTGTTAGAAATTACTTTTAAAAATGTAATTGTCTTTTAAGTACATTCTTACAAGCTGTTTTTTAGTTCGTAATGAAACCTTAAGCTTATTTTATTATTAGGACAGCCGAGTTGGTCTAGCGGTTTAGCACACCACGTGACTTTCTATGGTGGCAGATTCGATTAATCACATGTTACAACATTTGTATTTTCAAGTATGATTGTTTGTATCGATATCGGTGATTTCTATGTATATTATGCGTGTACAAAGAAGAAATCTAAAGATTTATAGAAGTTGTCTAGTATCCATGACAATAACTGCTTAGCTTGGGACTAGATGGCGCTGTGCAAATTGTCCAGTGTAGTTGTTACTATTATTCAACACCGGGATATATATATATATGTAATGTAATAACATATATATTCCAATTTTACTTAGAATAGATTTGCGTTACTTCGTAATCTGTTTAACTGCTAAATTGAGTAAATATTTTCTCGTATTCGAGTAAAACTCGGCAACGTTTTTTTTTTCATTTATAAAAGTAAATATTTTACGAATGAAATAGAAATAAGATTTTCATAATTCAAATTGTATTTTTATATTTAATATTTATTTTCTCCTATTAAGTTATATTATAGAACTAATACTAGTTATATGTTGCTCGAAGCTAGGGTGAGTTGCTAGTATCCTATACTATAAATAAAAAATATTTGATTTTAAGGAGATCCCGAGGTAGACTCCTCCAAAAGTCATCTGCGTCAATATCATCTCAGTCTCATATCAGACGCCAAGCAGCCTACTTTGTAAGCTGTTTCAGTAGAGGAGTGATACAGTTGTGAAATTACAGGTCATGATAGCTTACTCTTGTGGAATGGCAATGAATGAGTGGTATGATACCGTGATACGGTCATGACTTGCTAACCTGATATTTATGTACGTAGACGTCAATTACCATTTACCATCAGGAGCGCCGACATCTTGTTTCCCATTCCAATTTCAGAAAAAAATATTGCTTTTAATAAATAAATTAAAAAACAATTACCGACTTTGACTTGCGATGCACCTATTTTATCACTATGTAAAATAGGCAGTTGTAAGGGTAGCCATTGGACAACAAATGACTACTCCAATGTTATATATCGGATATAGACTGCATTTATTGCTAGAGATTACTTGTTATATATGTAGTTGCTGCACTATACAGTACACACAAGCAATGCCACGGAATATGGTTTGTTCATAATAATATTCCTCGTAGAATTTCTGTATAACTTAATTACTCTGTATTATCAGCAGTAATTAATTAAATAATTATTCCACCACGGAAAATAAACGCCCTATCAGTCAGTAGAAGGGTTATAGTTGAGGTAATTTCGTTCTATAATTGCTGAGAACGGTACACGAATAGCTTAGAAAACTGCTCTATTTGCATATCTCACTCGACTTGTTCCGCACCAAATGATCCATAAAATGTTTCGATAAAGACGAGGTGAAACTTTGGGCCTATTACCCTAATGTACCAATTAATTTTTATTCACCATCACTTTTTAGTGTAGATCATTTGATAACTTAATTAATTGATCTAATTAATTTGGGGATTTACAATTTAAACTTAAAGATATTTTTATGTTATTGTTATAACACAAAATTTTGTTGTACAACAACAATGTGGTTGTAGCATATTTAAATATATCTTCGGACTTTTTTGTATGAAACATTCTAAGGCTGTTGGCCACAGCTGGCCTTTACAGGTTCATCGAACGATAAGGAAGCAACTGCAATCTGTACACAAACCCGCGTAAAGACTCATGAAGCGGCTGAACCTGAATCCCTAGCTCGAACCTCAGCTCAGGCCGTCGTAGTTTTGATTCCCTGTTTGAATTGGATGGAAGATCAATCAATCGGAGAGGGAGTAATAAGTATTTTTGATAAGATCTTAAATTATCTTTTTACAGGCCAATCACACAACAACTCCTATACACTTTACCGGTTGAAAGAAGTGGCCAGAACTTCAATCCGCAACTTTGCTCAGTACAGCAATATAGATGACCTGGTGAAAGAAGGTGAAGATGAACCGAAGGTTTACGACCAGTTTTCAGCACCAGCTATCGGTTTTGGTGTCGGTGAGACCAGTAACGTTGTGCTAGTTGATGGAGCTCATAGTTTTGTAAGTTTTTTATGAATAATACTACCCGTATAGACCAGGTAAACCCCAGAAGAAGAATTTAATATATAATATAAATAGTAATAATATCCCTAGACAATTTACACGTCGACATCTAGTTCCAAGCTGAATAGTCTTGTGTTATGAGTACTAGATAACTGATAAATATATTTAGGTATTTTTTTTTTGTTTTTAAATACTTGCATATTACTTGTATATTATATACATTGAAAACACCCAGATCCAGAAACAAACAATCATAATCATGAATACAAATGTTTGTTCCGTGAGAGGAATCGAACCCGCGACCATTGGAAATAAAGCGGTGTGCTAAACTGCTAGACCACCGAGGCCGTCAGTATAATATGATAATATGAGAACGAAGTTACCCATCTTGGTAAATTTAGGAATTCGCTTGTTGGTAACAAGCGAAAAAGATCTACAACCAACCGACGTAAAATTGTAGCTACTATAACGTACGATGCGAAGTAAAGTACCTGTAATATCTATATATATATATCTGTAATGACAAATAGTCCGATCAATCGACTGTAACTAATCCTATACCAAATAGTTTGTAGGTAACTTTACTTACCTTAAATAGATATAGATAGGTTTAATCCATATTTTGGTATCAAAAAGTATCTCCATTTTCAGGTATCCTTAATCAGTCGTATAATACCTTCACCGGATTGGTTTATCGGTGTCGACAGTATGGACATGTGCGTGGATTCCACTTGGATAGAAGAAATCACACTAGACGTAAGTATTTTCGTAATTTTCCATATCAAAAGAAAGATGGCCATAAATTTGAATCATTTTTCTGTGTCCACAGCTATATCCTCTAGATGCAGGTGCAGCAAGCGGGCTTACATTCACAGCTCCCCGATGGGAGACATCACCTCCAGAACCTGTAACAAAGCATGAACCTAGAACACCAAATCATCCAGCAGCTGGCTTTTACTATCCTGAACTTAAAGAACTGCCAGCTATTGCTAAAGTGGAATTTATAAAGGTATTAAAAATGCTTAATAATATTTATTTAAACACGCTAATGAGTCTGCATACCGAATAAGTGGTAGAATCAAAATATGACTATGAACCAAATTTGACAGGTTTACGTGAAAGAGTTTTTGAGTTATGAGGGGGTCAAAAGTGGCTCCAAATGGTTCGTGTAAATATACACACGGTGCTGCTCGCCAGTTCTCTTACTCGAAACTCGGCTTTAGATTCAAAAGCGCCTATAATAAGTTAATTTGAATAACCATTATTTTTTTTTATTCATTTATTTAACTTCAACGCATACAATACAAAAGTACAGTACATTAGATGGACTTAATATCGTGCGGCATTTTCTACGAGACAACCAGGTAGTGCATAAATGTTGGTAAATAATTTATATTTCTATTAACTTAGTTGTTAGTGGGTATACATTGAAAATGCATTTGAGAGTTTTCATTACAATGAGTAAATATACTGCCTATTGTGTCTTATGATGCGAGTTAATTAATTTGAAAGCAGAAGTAAGAAATATAGAGAATATTATTTACAGTTTCAATGAAGAAATGAAAATAAAATTGAACCATCCTAGTTTTAATAAACAGTTTAACTAGTTTTCTATTCCGTAAGATGCTGAAACTAGAAGAAATAGCAGCAAAGACAGTAAGACCTATAAAACTTACGGTTCTTACAATCATGACATTTAGAAAAATTGAAAGATTGCTAAATTTTTAAGATCACGTCGGCTATAACTTTTATCGTTTCCAAAACGGATATGGCATGCAAAGTTACGAGTTTATCAAATCAAATGAAAAAGCATTTATTCATTTAGGACAGTTAGCCATGTACGTAATTTTTTCTTGTTTTAATATTTTTCCCCTACTATCCGTTTCAGTATATAGATTCAATTGAGAGGAACTAGCAAAATCTCAACTGAATTTCTTTTGTTTTTAAAGTCTCTTAATTTACATTATATACTTATATAAATATCTATCTCTAACATTATATGATATTCCGTGCATGAACAACTATTGCCATGAACGTTTGTCATTTCAGTAATTGCTTAGTGAATGGCTTTGCTCAATGATTTAACAAATCTTTTATATTTATTTATACGTAAGTAATCGTCCAGTATATCCTTTGGTATCTTATTGTAAAATATTATACTCATTTCATTTAAGTTTCTAAAAGATACCTAGGAACAGCTAATTTATTTTTAAATCTAGTATTAATGCGATGCATATGGATGCTATTTCTGGAATATAGATAGAAGCCATAATAAACAATATTAAACAATTGAATCTGTTAATTAAAAATCTTTTGCTCGTAATATAATAAATATATGGGAATTACATCAAAACTAGTAATATTCGTCATTTCAACAGAGATCTATGTAATTTACCCGCGAAATCATCAATATTTTGTTGACCTCGAGAAAATAGACGTGTTCATAATTATAGCGGTAACATCACGAAATTGGATGTATAAAGCAGATAATTTAATTAAGCAATTAGTTTCCATCGTAGCGTAATAACCGTGTTTGATGGAGCTTGAACGCAATCATAATAATAATAATATATATATTATTAACTAGTTGTCTCGACCAACGATGTTTTGCCATATAAATCAATATTATTACTTTTCAATGCTAAATGATAATAAAATAAAAATATTTAAAAAGATTGGCTTAAATAACTCTTATCATTCAGGGGAATGAAAAATAGATGTGCCGATTGGCTGATTCTCAGACCTACCCGATGTGCACACAAAATTTCCAGAAAACCAGAAATAATGGTAGAAAATAGCATAGGTATTTTTAAAACTTTTAGCGCAGCCTCTAACAAAGATGCAGTTTAACAAAGACTATGCCAAGTTCCCAATGGACATATCTATTGCCAAGAAAATTACTTTGTAAGCTGTATTCGGGTTTCCTGGATGAGTTGTCAGTGTTAGTTGTGGATTTGTCATCGTCTATGTATAGTAACGCATGGTGTGATGCTGTTTATATATTTAGGTGATGTTCTTACCTCATAATCATCGTATCATTCTCCACTGGTGCCCCGCCAGCATATACCGTTAGCACAGGTGAAGGCCCCATTTCATTATCAAACTGACAAGTACTTGTGTACGTTAAACTAGATGTCGTCAGGTTTTTTAAAGATAAAGGTTAGGATGAATGAATGGACAGACGGGTTACTTTTCTCATAATGCAATTTATCTTTACGTCAAATTTCATTTAATCATTTAGTAGTAAAAATGTGATAAACTGATAGACCAACAACAACAACAAGGCAGACAAACACATTTTTATGTTTATAAAATTAGTATAGATATATATTATTTTATTCACAGATAAACGAGTATTCTACAAAGGAACTGAACGAACTGCTCAGAAAAGATTTATTGGCAAAACTAAAACAGAAAGACGATTACAAAGGATATCCTAAAAGCAAACTTATAAATACTAAGATTGATAAGGAAGAAGTGACGACTAAGAGTCAAATGGATGTACTTACGGACCTAGAAGAGGAACCTTTGGGTACTCCGAGACCTAACTTGGCTCAAAATTTCGTTATTATTGTGAAGGAAGATCCGAAAGAGTAAGTAATATTTTTTTTAGTAATGATACCAGGCACAACGCACTATCTAGCCCCAAGTTAAGGAGAAGTTGTGTTGTACATATGAAATATACACAGAAAACATCAGCAATGGAAATGAAAAATTATAAAAATAAATAGAAGTACATTAACTTTTAGTAGTAGTTATAGTTAACTATATCTTTAGTTATCTCATGTTTGTGTTGTCTATGATCTGTCTGTTAGTTTGTCTGTATTCAAAAATGATTACAACCTACCCTGTAAAATATATTTAATGAGTCACAGAGGCTCTCATCTCTTGCCATCTATCCTACAAATTACTGAAACTTATCTATTTATATATAACTTCATCATCAATACCATAAGGATGATATTCATAACTATAAATGAAATAGTTTGGCTGTTAGAGATTTTCCGGGGCCGTAAAATTACTTAATAAAAAAAATCTGGGTAGAAATTGATTACGGGTTATATTATAATCATTTAATACCATATAACGAAAAGAACATCGTCTAATATTATATTATGACATTCACAAACTCATAGCTAACTTAACCATTACTTTTCCATTAGTATCATCATAACATGCAAACAAATGTGGATTTTATGAGATCCATCTGGGTTTATCTATACATTCCCTACATTGTTGCTCAGCTTTTTAGTTTCGGTAATAAAATCACAAGAAAGGAGAAGTATAGAAAGAAAAATAAGACATTACCACAAGATACTACACATACACCACTACCTAAACCTGAACCTAGTTATAGTTCGACTATACTCCCGACTAGCCCATCTGAGATGATAGTCGTGACGTATGTTTTATTTTTTTTACCAATATTTGTATTATATAAAGTTAGTTATTTTTGGAATAAACATATGGCAAAAAAATAAGCCTTAACTTAACAACAATTTGCAGCTTTTGCCATTTAGAAGAGGAAATTCCACTACACATTAGGATTTGTAGCATTTGGCTACTACCACAAAGGTGTGGTAGTAGCCCACTCATGCAGAAACGAAATATCTTCTTTGGAAAGTATGCACTCTATCCTGAGAAGAAAAAAACCATCGCTCCTAAGAATATCCTTCAATTTTTGTCCTTCACGGGTCTATGTAGCGAAGTTTGAAAAAGGGCGAGCACAATAGATCTATGTAGGTCGCAGTGTTACAGGTGTACCACCTGACAATAGGCCAAAACCCCAATAAAAATTAAAAAAAAAATTGTGAAAAAAATATTTGATATACGTTTATTTTCAGAATCTCAGAGGACGAATTCGGTGATGATCTTCAGAACATGGATGATGTAGTGAAAGCTGTGGCTCACGGCCGCAAGCTGGGCTTGAAGAAACATCTCCCAAGGCATTTCAGATCACGACTGAATCATGCTATCAATAGGATTCAGCGTATGTACCTATTCTATTGTTATAAAGATTTCAATTTATTTTTATTTAATAATTTATTTTAATTTATTTCAATATTATGTACTTTAAATTCGCTTCTGGCTATAAGCATGTCTTTGTAAGCATGATCATGATTTTTCAGAATAATCTGCAGTCTATCATTTTCCGTTCCAAATGCTATGTATATGGCAAATTTCATGATTATCGGTTAAGTATAATATAGTACGTGAAGATGCGAACAAACAACTTTCCTATTTTTACCCTTGATAATATAAATAATACATGACAAGAAGAGGAGAGAAATTTGTTAATTATTGATGACAAGTAGTGATCTGTAGAGTAGTCAGATAGAACCTCCATGAGTTTCCCCTGGATACCATCGTGATAAGTTCCTGGTGAATTTATCATGATAGGCGTTATCATGACATGGAGGATGATAAGATGAGACGGTAGATCATAACTGATCAGATGGATGGTAATCAGATGGATGGTGGTCAGGATGATAAGATGAGACGATAGATCAGTTATGATCTACCGTCTCATCTTATCATCCTCCATGTCATGATAACGCCTATCATGACAAATTAGCCAGGAATTTATCACCTCCACTGGTGTCCCGCCAGCGTAAACCGTTAGCGCAGGCGTGTGCAGTATTACGTTATCACCCAGAAAAAAATAAACACTAACGATAATAAATTAAAATATAAATTAAAAAATTCCTTTTTCCAAGTACAAAACTCGAATAAACACTGTTTTAATTTTTTAACAAATTATAAATCTATATTTAAATAACACATTTTGCCCTTGAAATATCTGAAAATCACGACTAACATTGTCCTCTTAATTATACTACAATGTTTACAAAATAACAGTAATTTTAACATTGATCCAATATTGTTATATCACAGCTAACGACTGCTTAGTGTCGGACTGGAGTGATTGGACACCGTGCTCGGTCACCTGCGGTTTCGGTGACAAGTTTCGGTCTAGAACCGTTCTGAGGAATAAGACAGAAAACGGGCGAGAATGTCCATTATTGGAGGAGAGGACACATTGCGGTAATATCAACTCTTGTGTTAAAATTGATTATTTTGATTGGTAAAGTTTGTAAAATTACATATTATTATATTTCAATATACTTAATAATAATAATAAATACTATAGAGTTTTTCTTTCACCAACCCCTCGACATTCTAAGGAATAAAACAGGGAGTTTGTAAAATTGACCTATATTATTTAAATATTCTCTTATATAATAATAATAAATGGCATATAGTGTTTCTTTCACCTATCCTAGCGTCGTTAATTTCTTCTGTATTCGTTGATAAATATTGAAGGAAATATGAACTGATAAAGATCGTGAGCAAGTAAAGTGGGCTGAATTTGTTTTAAAATATAAATATATAATTGTACCCATGTGAAGTATACCTAGATAGATTTTGTAAAAAATCGTCTGCGTATCGTAAGCTCAAACTCACAAATTTCAGCCGCAATTAAGCTTGCTTTGTAAAATGTATTTCGGCGGAAGGGTGAAATAAAACCGTGATATTTCTATAAGACAACTAATATAAATACATACATTCCTTTTGAATGTAAACACTTAATATTCTTAAAAAACACCCGATACAAACTATCATACTCATGAATAATTATATCGTGCGAGGAATCGAACCCACGACCATTTGAAGTACGGTGGCAGCGGTGTGCTCAACCGCTAGACCAACGACCGCCGGAGCCGTCAAATTACAGGAATTTTTAGTCATAAAATGGTAATCTTCTGGAATGATGAGGCATGAGTGGCATCAATGGTGCAATTGACATCCTGTATATGCAGGCAACATTTACCATATACAACCAGGTTGTTTGTCGTAACATATACATAAAAAAATAGCGGATAATTATTTATTTCATGCGATACATATTGAGAGAGATATAGGTGAATAATTAATTTAATCCCACTAAAGCACTAAAAGGGCTTTGTGTAGTCATAAAGGGATACCACTTTATGGAGGTCCACAAGTGTATATAAAATGGCAGAGATTGCGAATAAATATTAAATACGACGCTGACCACTGAATAAATTATTATAATACCAAATCTCTTGGTATCGTAACGTTTGTATTGGTATTTGTTATTGGTATTCAATTAATACCAGTAGATGTAGTATAGGTTAATAGGAGGGTGAAGTGGATTGTTAGTAGTGTGGATTGATAACGCCTTTGCTATCAATGTACCATATCAGTTTGACCACCACGCGGTTCCCTCTGGAAACAATCTTACAACATTGGGTCTTTCAAGTCAAGAGTGAATAGACATTATTTGAGCTTGCGTGTAACAGCTTGTGTAGCAGCCACATCATCACTTAACATCAGGTACGATTGCGGTCAAACGCTCAAATATTAATATAAAAAAAAAAACAATGCGTTAAATTCCTAGTCAATTTGCCACGATAGGCTAACTTAGTGATGTATGTGATGAGTCGAAAGATGCGTTCCAAATGAGCGTTAAAAGAATCAAAAATAATTAATATTCTCAGGACAATTCACACAGCGCCATATAGTCCCAAGTTAAGTTAAGCTAACTAAAGCTTGTGTTATGAATGCTAGATAACTGATACAAATACTATATAGATATATTTTTTCGTAAATACTTACATATTGTACATAGAAAACACCCAGACCGGTACAAACAATCATACTTATCAGTAAAAGTACTTGTGCCATGCGAGGAATCGAACCCACGACCATCGGAAGTAAGGAGGTGTACTAAACCGTAAAGGCAATTAAATGAAATTCTGAACAGTTATTTAAAAAAGATACACGCAAGTTTCTTGCTCGTTCTTCTTGTGATGAAACTGCCTTCCGAATTATTGGTAGAATAAAAAATATGGCTATTTAATAGTGTTTATATTAAGTTTATTTGAATAAAGATTACTTCTACTCTCGATTTATATTCTTTGAGGTTTTGAAATACCTGAACATCCTTGTAAATACTTGAAATGTCATTTCGCGAACATGCAAGTCATGTGTCGCATTGGGTGGAAATGGCCCTCCCAACAAACGGTTCTTGCTTTTTCTAACGATCGTTGCGTTGTAACGGTATGGCCAGTGAAGGGCGCAGTACTAAAATCTTAGTGGCATCGATCGAATACGCCATCTCATTTGTATTCTACGCGAGATCTTCTCAAAATCAAGGAGTATGTGATTCGATTTCTATACACCCGGGTGTTTGTATAGAGCTGTTATATTCTCAATACTGGTCAACTTTATTGCTCCTTACCTTTATACATACTTGAATTATTAATACGAAAATGTGGAGGGAACACGATTGTTCGTAATCTGGACAAATTATCCGTAGCTAACAATGTACCATGTCTGGTTGACCTCCACGCCTATTTCCCTATAAACCATTCAGACATCATTCATAATTTAAGAGTCGGATTTAAGAATCTTGTCGGTGGAGTTGTTGCTACTTTCCATGATCTTCCATCGTCCTCTCAAATGTGGACGTACTTATATTTGACGAGACTGATTGTACAACACTACTCAAATTTTGTTCTGGAAACCTTTTTTTTTTGTTGAGGGTTTTGGACTATTCTCAGGAGCTGAGACCTGTAGCATTGCGACCTGCATAGATCTATTGTACTTGACCTTTGTCAAAGTTGGCTATCTAGACCTATCAGGGACAAGCATGGAAGTATATTCTTAAATATGCAATGAAGGAACGAAGAAGGAAGAAAATAAAAATCTCCTCAGGTTAGAGTGTATACTTTCCAAAGGAGATATTTCGTTTATGCATAAACGTGGGCATGGGTTACAACCACATAGGATGTGTAGTGACATGTCCTCTTCAGCTTGTTAAAAAAAATGTTTGATTAAATTGTGGGTTTCATATATGTGCAATGCAAGGTACACGAGACGAGACGTGTTTAAGATAAGTTGAGATATTTTTGTAGTGAGTGAATAATTATATTTCGAGAAATAAAAATATTTCAAAACTTGATATTTCCCTTGGTCTAAACATAATAAATAGAGTTGTATCAACCACTCTATACAATTTGTACGCTCACCCAATCGGAAACATCAATTGAGTGTGTCATCGCGGTACACATACTAAATACAGTCTCGACTCGGATACTGCGCTCTCATCTCACAACAACATACTGTTACAGTCCACGGGGATACGGTGCCAACACTGCAACCTATTTTTTTTTATTGCGCAATAAAAAGGAGAGCTTATATGGCAGGGGGAAGGAGATAGATAGTAATGTTAGATCGACCTCCACGCGGTTCCCCCTGGAAAACATTGTGGTTAATTACTGGTTATTTAATCACGATGCCCAAATTGACCTGACCTCTTGCTCGTTTTATCATCCTCCGTTAGCGGCGGCGAGAGCACTATTTCATTATCATCCTAGAAAAAAATGGCGTTCTCTACCAACTAACCTTTAGGTAGAAATAGAAAGCGTTATAGGGCAGTAATGGGGCGAATAACTGTGATAATAATATTATAACATACAAATAACTAAACAATATCTATGTACATATATACTTTATGTTATATAAATACAATAAATTAAAATGTACACAAAAAATATAAAATATTACAGAAATACATAAATTACAGAAAAAAATAAATAAACATGATACTTTTCATCGTAGATTTTTTTTTATATCTAAATTGATTATAGAATTTTTGTTATCAAACATGTCAACTCCATTATATCGAACCTAATTATAAAATCATTTAATCCCAAGCTAAATAGAACTTGTATTATGAGTACTGGACAAGTGATATAAATACTTTATTTTGTTTTTGTAACTACATAAAAAAACGTCCAGACCGATACAGAACAAACTCATGAATGTAAATTTTACACCGTGCGAGGAATCGAACCCGCTAATATCGGAAATAAAGCAGTGTGCTACACCGCAAGACCACCGAGGCTGTCAACATAACACAAACGGTGTACAAAAATTTTATCTGAACATTCTAAGCTAACCAAAAATAAATTCCTCCACACAATTCTAGAAAGATCGTAATGTTTCAGAAACATTTATATATTCACATATCATACGCGCCAAAATATACATTTCCATTTCTATCCGTCAACAGATCCCCGGAAACCATATTTCGACCCTAAAATACATTCCCTCATGGGGGAGAGAGTAAAAAAACAGCGTAGTCGGCAAAGGTTAAGAACGCACGTTGGAGTTACGGCGGGCTGATATCTTTACAGCCTGAAATGAGCTGAATAGAAGAGCTCTCTTATTGGTGGTCCTCGAGTAATATTTGAATATCTAGTTTATATTGCTCACACGTTATACCCAAATTTGGATCGGGACCATTTGCTCGACTCGGCACTTCCTCTGAAGTGCGTATTACATATTTTTATTAACGGAAATTTGACACTAAGCTTTAGCCGCAACTTTGTTCATTTTATTTATTTATTTTTATGTAATTTGAATGACGAATAAACTGACGGCCTAGTTGTAAGTAAGTGATAACTGTCGCGATTGGGGGGATGGGGATTATTAGTAATATTACTAGTAATGTAGCCATTTCAGGTTGACCTTCACGAGGTTCCTCCTGGAAACCATCGTGATAAATTCCTGGTGAATTTGTCACGATGGGCTAACTGACCTGCCCTCATGTTCATCTTATCATCCTCCACTGATGCCCCGCCAGCGTAAACCGTTATCGCAAGCAGAAGCACCATTCCATTATCATCCAAAAAAAAAATTAGGAATGGGAACCTACCGCGACAGTTTTTTTTTAATAATTGTTACTAGTAGTAATCTGAAGTGCGTATTACATATTTTTATTAATAGAAATTTGACACTAAACTTTAGCTGTGATTTATCTTTTTTATTTATTTATTTTTATGTAATTAGAGTGGCAAAGAAACTGATGGCCTACCTGATGGTAAGTGGCAACCGTTGAGATTTGGTGGAAGGAGATTGTTAGTAACGTGCATTCAATAATCCATTGATAGAAATGTACCATTTCAGGTTGATATACGAGTATTAGACCAGTTATTAAAAGTAGAAGTCCGGCTTAGTTTAATAACTTGATGGAACTGTTTAAATTTACTAGTTTTATATACATATATTT